CTGTGTCGGGTTATAATGCTCTCCACTGCGGAAGGATGTCCTGTGTAGGGTTATAATGCTCTGCACTGGGGAAGGATGTCCTGTGTAGGGTTATAATGCTCTGCACTGGGTAAGGATGTCCTGTGTAGGGATATAATGCTCTGCACTGGGGAAGGATGTCCTGTGTAGGGTTATAATGCTCTGCACTGGGTAAGGATGTCCTGTGTAGGGATATAATGCTCTGCACTGGGTAAGGACATTCTGTATAGGGTTATTATGCTCGGCCTTGTATTGCTCTGCATGGAGTGGTTATAACGCTCTGCATGGAGTTACATTGCTCTGCATTGAGCTGTTATACTGTATTGCTCTGCATTGAGCTGTTATACTGTATTGCTCTGCACTGGGTAGGGTTATGCTCTGCACTGGGTAGGGTTATGCTCGGTATTGTATTGCTCTGCATGGAGTGGTGTATAATAATAATCTGCATGGAGTTATAATATTGCTCTGTATGGAGTTATATTGCTCTGCATGGCGTTATTATAATGCTCTGCATGGAGTTATTATACTGTATTGCTCTGCATTGAGTTGTTATAGTGTATTGCTCTGCATTGAATTGTTATACTGTGCTGCTCTTTATGGAGTTATTATATTGCTCTGCATTACATAGTTACATAGCTGAAAAAAGACTTGCGGCCATCAAGTTCAGCCTTCCTCACTGTGACTGTAGTATATGATATCACCGTCAAGCATTCCCTCCTTCCCATAAAAGAAAATCACCCAACACTCCACACAAGGAAATATCCCTGGTATCGCCGAATAATCCACACATGAGCCAAAGCTTAATGCTGGAACAAGACGGATTTACTGGCACACAGGACACACAATTTATGCAACACAAAACTCCTCCTCTGGGCCAGGCTAGATAATTGAGTTTCTACACTATACAAAGCTCAATTATCTGCTGGCCAGAAACATAATTTTTAACAATTTCAGAAAAGTACTTTTTATAATACATACAACTATAATTTTAACATCCCTGGTGTGGCGAAACCAGCCTCGCCACGTGTCCTTGGAGGGGGCTGCTTGCCCGCCTCTTGCCTTTGGACTATGGACCAGACTTTATGTGAATGTATTAACCCAGATAGCTATGCCAAGGAGCCCATTCGTGTAGTTAAAGACTTTGGCTCCATGGCAGTTGAACTCTGTGAATAGGATCTGAGCGCTATTCGGTAGTTTTGTGCGCTCAGATCCCAGCTATCTGGGGATATGTGACATGTCTGTGTTTTATGTATAAAATGTGACTTTGTGTATTTTATAATATTTTAATGCTTTGTGCTCACCATGTGCATAATGGAGTCTTGTGTCTGTCCTGGGAGATAATTGAATTACTTCTCAATTCAATCTCCAGGATAGAAGACTCTGAAACTGGTTTGGGCCGGAAAGCCATGCTTCATTTAGTCACAAAGGACTTTCCCTTAACTTTTGAACCCCTGGTCTGATTCGTGCCATTTTTTACTATGTTGTTCCCCTGAATGGATTGATTATGAAAATGTATGCTTTATGTTTGTGACATGTATATTTTAGAAGTTATAAATATTGTGTAAAAACTGTATTCCTCTGCTGGTGATAATGAGATTACCCATTGTGTTCAGTAATCATATCACATGCAGAGGGGAGGATTTTGTGTGGGAGTGTCTGGGTGTATTGTACGGATTGATTGGTTGTTTTGTAATGCCCTGTGGGCTGTACTATGTTTGTGGATTGGGAATAAAAGAGACTGTATGTGACAGTACAGGGAGTTCCTGTTTTAACCCTCAAAGTGAAGTGTCGTCTCATTATTGGGGGAAGGATTTATTGTATGCTGTTCCAGTTTGACTGCTAGGAGAGTAAACCTATTCGTATGGTTCCTATTCAACTGTCTACAGCATTCATATGCTTGAGAGGATTCAATGCTTCTCCGGTTCGGTGGTTGTGGTGTCTGCTGCAGTGCTTGGAGTCCTCAGGAAGCGCTAGGAGTATCCTTCAACGGAGGTACCCAGTCGGGGTGCCAGGTGATCCGTTACACCTGGGTAGCTGAGGATACTGGTAGTTTCCGTGTCGCATCGTGTAGAAGTTTGACCGGCTCGCCATGTGGAGGTATCCGAGCTAGAGTTCCATAAAATCAGTAGCAAGAGCCGGTCTCTGTTTGCATCTAACTACACGAAAACCACCGTTCGTATGGTGCAGCTGGTTCCATGCGAATGTTCCCCTCGTTCGGTACATTCCATTTACCGAATGCCAGTTTGATTCGTGAAGGGGAACATATTCATCCAGGACTTCAATGAAGAACGGGCGTTCGCATTTTTGCCATGCCGAAAATAGTTCCAGGCAATTTATGCGTACGCCCCGCTGACCGCGTTCGTGAGTTTTAAGATGGCCGCCATCCTTTGTTCTCGCCACGTGTTCGTATGCCGAATGGCGGCCACCTAGGAGCAATTAAGTTGCGGTTTTTCTCCACGTTCTAATGCTGATTGCTACCCAGGGCGGGTGGTCTCTCGTTTGGTAGACGAGTACAATTATTCAACACATACTTAAACAACCTATTACAGTATTTGGACAGCAGGGAGAAGGTACAACTGAAGGCATACACGTAAGTACATGAAATCTTTCACACTCATATTTGTTTTTGAAAAAATTCCTTCTTGACCCCAGAATGGCAGTCAGATTTATCCTTGGATCAAGCAGTTATTACCCTACATTGAAATATTGTATCCTTGAATATTCTGTTTTTGCAAGTATGAATCTAGTAGCTGTTTGAACATCTGTATGGACTCTGATAAAACCACTTCTTCAGGCACAGAATTCCACATCCTGATTGTTCTTACAGTAAAAAAACCTTTCCTTTGCCTTAGACGAAATCTTCTTTCTTCCAGTCTAAACGCATGGCCTCGTGTCCTATGTAAAGTCCGGTTTGTGAATAGATTTCCACACAATGGTTTGTATTGGCCCCGAATATATTTGTATAATGTCATCATATCCCCTCTCAGGCAACGTTTTTCTAAACTAAATAGGTTTAAATTTGTTAACCTTTCTTCATAGCCGATATGTTCCATTCCTTTTATTAATTTTGTAGCCCGCCTCTGCATTTTTTCTAGTGCCATAATATCCTTCTTTAGAACAGGTGCCCAAAATTGCACAGCATATTCAATATGTGGTCTTACCAGTGATTTATAAAGAGACAAAATGATGTTCTCGTCCCGAGAATGAATGCCCTTTTTCATGCATGACAATACCTTACTGGCCTTGGTCACTGCTGATTGACATTGCACATTGTTGCGTAGTTTGTGGTCTATAACAATTCCCAAGTCCTTTTCGGGTGCTGTTATCCCTAATTCGCTTCTATTAAGGGTATATGTTGCTTGTGTATTCTTTACGCCCAAGTGCATAACTTTGCATTTTTCAACATTAAATTTCATCTGCCATTTGAGTGCCAAGTCCCTCAGTCTATGTAAATCCCTCTGCAGCAAAGTAATATCTTGCTCACATTGTATTATTTTACAACGTTTTGTGTCATCTGCAAACACTGAAACATGACTGTCAATGCGGTCTTCAAGATCATTTATAAACATGTTAAATAGAAGGGGTCCCAGAACAGACCCCTGAGGGACACCACTTGCCACCTAGACCAATTTCCTTGAGTTTGAACACTAATCTATTGTGTGGAACTGTATCAAATGCCTTAGCAAAATCCAAGTAGATCACATCCACTGCAACACCCTGGTCTATACTTCTACTTACTTCTTCGTAGAATGCAATTAGGTTAGTTTGGCATGACCTATGTTTCATAAAACCATGCTGATTATTGCTAATAAAGTTCTTCCCAATGAATTCCTGAATATTATCCCTTAATAGCCCTTCAAATATTTTCCCAGTTACAGAAGTTAAAGATAAACTATAGTCACCTAAATTACTTTAGCTAACTAAAGCAGTTTTAGTGTATAGATCATTCCCCTGCAATTTCACTGCTCAATTCACTGTCATTTAGGAGTTAAATCACTGTTTCTGTTTACGCAGCCCTAGCCACACCTCCCCTGGTTATGATTGACAGAGCCTGCATGAAAAAAAAACTGGTTTCACTTTCAAACAGATGTAATTTACCTTAAATAATTGTATCTCAATCTCTAAATTGAACTTTAATCACATACAGGAGGCTCTTGCAAGGTCTAGCAAGCTGATAACATAGCAGGGGATAAGAAAATCTTAATTAAACAGAACTTGCAATAAAAAAAAGCCTAAATAGGGCTCTTTTTACAGGAAGTGTTTATGGAAGGCTGTGCAAGTCACATGCAGGGAGGTGTGACTAGGGTTCATAAACAAAGGGATTTAACTCCTAAATGGCAGAGGATTGAGCAGTGAGGCTGCAGGGGCATGTTCTATACACCAAAACTGCTTCATTAAGCTAAAGTTGTTCAGGTGACTATAGTGTCCCTTTAAGCTCACAGGTCTATAATTTCCAGGCAAGGATTTTGAACCTTTTTTAAATATAGGAACATGTGCCTTACTCCAATCCTCCGGTACAACACCTGAAACAAAAGAATCTTGAAAAATTTAATACAGAGGTTCACTTATTTCCCCACTTAGCTTAAGAACTCGTGGGTGAATACCGTCAGGCCCCGGAGCTTTATTTACATAAATTTTCTTTAATAGCTGTAGCACCTTGTCTCATGTTATCCAATCACAAGTTATTTGCAAGTTTTTTGCATCAATCATTTGCATATCTCTTGCCATAGGATCCACATTAATATATACTGAAGAAAAATAGTTATTTAAAATTTCTGCTTTTTCCTGGTCTTCCTTAGCTAATAAACCAAACTCTGTTTCCAGTGTACCTACACTTTCATTTTTTTAGAATTGATGTACTTGAAAAAATGTTGGGGGTTGGTTTTGCATTCTTTGGCTATCAATTTCTCATTTTCTAGTTTAGCCACTTTAATTGCCTTTTTGCAAGCGTTATTGGCTTCCTTATATTTTAAATAGGATGCCTCTGATTTGTCTGATTTAAATGCCCTTTTCTTATTTTTAATCTCTTGTTTTACTTCTCTACTAAGCCACATTGGTTTTAATTTGTTTCTTTTATATTTATTACCCAATGGTACATACTGAGAAATGTACCTTTCTAATATTTGCTTGAATAGTTTCCATTTATTCTCAGTGTTTTTATCACTAAGGAGTTTATGCCAGTCGATATGTTGTACAGCTGCCCTAATCTTATTGAAATTGGCTTTTTTTAAATTATATGTTTTAGTATACTCCACTTGCTTTTGCTTTTTTGAGTTTATTTCAAAATTTACCATATTGTGATCACTATTTCCCAAATGCTCCCCTACTTGAATGTTGGTTAAAAGATCAACGTTGTTTGTTATGACGAGATCCAGACAAGCATCCTTTCTAGTTGGTGCTTGTACCAGTTGTGACATAAAGGTGTCATTTAACACATTCAAAACCTGATTCCCCTTGCTGAACTACTAGTCCCTCTATCCCAATTTATGTCTGGGAAATTAAAATCTCCAATAATTAACGTGTTACCTCGATTTGCAGCTTTCCCAATTTGCTCTAACAGCAGTTCTTCCTCAATAATATTTACATTAGGTGATTTATAACATATCCCAACCAATAACTGATTCCCCTTTGTTTGCCCCAAGCAGATATCTACCCATAAAGCCTCCACCTTTTCCTCGTCACACTCCACATGCCTAAGATTTGACTTTAACTCATGGTTGACATATAAACATACCCCACCATCCTTCTTGTTTTTCCTATCCTTCCTAAATAACATGTACCCATTTAAATTAACTACCCAGTAATGTGTCTCATCTCACCATGTTTCTGTTATACCCAGGCCCGGACTGGCCATCGGGCAAACCGGGCAAATGCCCGGTGGGCCGCGATGGCCATGGACCAAGGCCGGTAGGAAAGATCAAGAGATCTCCCCTACCGGCCCATGCGCAGCAGCACCGGCCCCAAGATGGAGTTCTATCCCATCATGGGCCGGAGAGATCGGGCAGTGAGCCGATCACCCTCTGCGCACGCCGAGCAGCTTCCTTTCTCCTCTTCTCGCGAGCTCCGAGATTATCAGAGCGTTGCCATGGTAACCCACGGCAACGCTCTGAAAAAACGGCGCTCGCGAGAGGGAGAGAGACCTTGTCTGTACCCTGCGGGGTACAGACTGAATTACCTGCCGCTGGACCGCCAGGGATGTGTGCGTGGCGTAGCCCCCCTTACTGGACCACCAGGTATGTGAATGCTCCCTCCCCTCCTGCAAAGTTAAAAGGGGGAGTAAATGGAATTATTAGTATTATATTTTTTTTTAACTTTTTAATAATAATATTAATTTAAGGCCATATACACACACAAACACATTACACACACTGCACCACTAACACACACACACACATTCTGCTCCCCACCACTAACACACAAACACACACTGCACTAACACACACTGCACTAACACACAAACACAGACTGCACTAACACACACTGCACTAACACACAAACACAGACTGCACTAACACACACACACACACACACTGCACTAACACACACACACACACACACTGCACTAACACACACACTGCACTAACACACACACACACACTGCACTAACACACAAACACAGACTGCACTAACACACACACACACTGCACTAACACACAAACACAGACTGCACTAACACACAAACACAGACTGCACTAACACACAAACATACTGCTCCCCTGCACAAACACACCCTGCAGTAACACACAAACACACACTGCACTAAAACACAAACATACTGCTCCCCTGCACTAACACACTACACACACAGCACCCCCTGCACTAGCACGCAAACACACTACACCCCCTGCACTAACCCACAAAAACACTGCATACACTCTATACCCCTACATACACACTACAGCCCCTGCATTAACACACAATACACACTCTATACCCCTATATCCACACTGCACCTCCTGCACTTACACACAAACACACTACACACACTCTATACCCCTTATATACACACACTAGTCCCCTGGCACTCACATACACACACTAAACACACTCTATACACCATAAACCTACACTACACTACACTCCCTGCACTCTCATACGTTATACCCTTATTAACACACACATTACACCCCCTGCATGCACCCACACTAATTTATATTGCCTATAAATACATATTCTGCACCCCCTGTACACACTACACCACCTATGCATACATTATCCCCCCTATACACATGTGCTCTACAGCTCCTATATGCATACACACACTAGAGCCCCTAGATACACTCACAAACACACAGTACAGCTCCTTACATGCACACACTCCACAGGCCCTATATAAATACACACACACACATACTTTACAACCCAGAGACACAAACACTACAGCCCCTAGCCACATGCAGTACGCCACAAACAGACCCCTTCACACACACAATTGCTCTACACACATGCAATGTCCAAACATATACAACAACACAAGGAACATCCCCACACATGCACAACACTCTTTAACAGTCCGGTTCCTGTTTTGATCTCTGGTATCCCACTATTGAGGACCCTAGAGACAAATCGCCAGCAAACACAGCACAAACTCAACCCCCCTTGCCCCCTAGAAAAACCTCATGGCATTTATTTTAGCCAAGAGCACTGGATGCTCTGGAGGAGCGTCACATTAACATACTCATTTGGTGGGGGTGAAGGGGGTGTGCGTGTCAATGGTGGTGACATGACATGCCCCCTTTCTGGCCCCGCCCCTAATAGTGGGCTGATCTGCCTTTAATTGCCCGGGCTGAATTTTTGTCCCAGTCCGGCCCTGGTTATACCTAGTATATCATATTGTTTAGTGTATGCTATTGCCTCTAGTTCCCCCATTTTGTTATATAGGCTCCTTGCATTAGTAAGCATATGTAGCAGAGAGGTAGTATAATCCACAATATCTCTGCTGGGTAACAGGAACAGCATACAAAAATCCCTGTAGCGTTATAAG